ATAATACACATCAATTCCTCATCCTGGTACGTATAATACACATCAATTCCTCGTCCTGGTACGTATAATACACATCAATTCCTCGTCCTGATACATATAATATACATCAATTCCACATCCTGGTACTTATAATACACATCAATTCCTCATCCTGGTACGTATAATATACATCAATTCCACATCCTGGTACGTATAATACACATCAATTCTACATCCTGGTACGTATAATACACATCAATTCCTCGTCCTGGTAGGTATAATATACATCACTTCCTCATCCTTGTACGTATAATATACATCAATTCCTCGTCCTGGTACGTATAATATACATCAATTCCACGTCCTGGTATGTATAATACACATCAATTCCTCGTCCTGGTACGTATAATATACATCAATTCCTCGTCCTGGTACGTATAATATACATCAATTCCTCGTCCTGGTACGTATAATACACATCAATTCCTCGTCCTGGTACGTATAATACACATCAATTCCTCGTCCTGATACTTATAATACACATCAATTCCACATCCTGGTACTTATAATACACATCAATTCCTCATCCTGGTACGTATAATATACATCAATTCCTCGTCCTGGTACATATAATATACATCAATTCCCCGTCCTGGTATGTATAATACACATCAATTCCTCATCCTGGTACGTATAATACACATCAATTCCTCGTCCTGGTACGTATAATATACATCAATTCCTCGTCCTGATACGTATAATACACATCAATTCCTCGTCTTAGTACGTATAATATACATCAATTCCTCGTCCTGGTACGTATAATACACATCAATTCCTCGTCCTGGTACGTATAATATACATCAATTCCTCATCGTGATACGTATAATATACATCAATTCCTCGTCCTGGTACGTATAAAACACATCAATTCCTCGTCTTAGTACGTATAATATACATCAATTCCTCGTCTTAGTACGTATAATATACATCAATTCCTCGTCCTGATACGTATAATATACATCAATTCCTCGTCCTGATACGTATAATACACATCAATTCCTCGTCCTGATACGTATAATATACATCAATTCCACATCCTGGTACTTATAATACACATCAATTCCTCGTCCTGGTACGTATAATATACATCAATTCCTCGTCCTGGTACGTATAATACACATCAATTCCTCGTCCTGATACATATAATATACATCAATTCCTCGTCCTGGTAGGTATAATACACATCAATTCCTCGTCCTGATACGTATAATATACATCAATTCCTCGTCCTGGTAGGTATAATACACATCAATTTCTCGTCCTGATACGTATAATATACATCAATTCCTCGTCCTGGTAGTTATAATATACATCAATTCCTCGTCCTGATACATATAATATACATCAATTCCTCGTCCTGGTAGATACAATACACATCAATTCCTCGTCCTGATACATATAATACACATCAATTCCTCGTCCTGATACATATAATATACATCAATTCCTCGTCCTGATACATATAATATACATCAATTCCTCGTCCTGGTACGTATAATATACATCAATTCCTCGTCCTGGTAGGTATAATACACATCAATTCCTCGTCCTGGTACGTATAATATACATCAATTCCTCGTCCTGGTACGTATAATATACACCAATTCCTCGTCCTGGTACGTATAATATACATCAATTCCTCGTCCTGATACATATAATATACATCAATTCCTCGTCCTGGTAGGTATAATACACATCAATTTCTCGTCCTGGTACGTATAATATACATCAATTCCTCGTCCTGGTACGTATAATACACATCAATTCCTCGTCCTGGTACGTATAATACACATCAATTCCTCGTCCTGGTACGTATAATATATATCAATTCACCGTTCTGGTACGTATAATGCACATCAATTCCTCGTCCTGGTACGTATAATATACACCAATTCCACATCCTGGTACGTATAATATACATCACTTCCTCATCCTGGTACGTATAATATATATCACTTCCACGTCCTGGTACGTATAATATATATCACTTCCACGTCCTGGTACGTATAATACACATCAATTCCTCGTCCTGGTACGTATAATATAGGCATAATATAAACTGAGGCATGCGCAGTAGATCCCTGTCCAGGTAGGATCATTCTATTCATTCATTCATTCATTCATTTATTTTCAAAGTGAGGTAGGGGATCTCAAGGGGTCCTTTCCTCCATAGCTGTAGGTCTGAATGACTGTACAATGACTCTACTTTTAATTACTGATATTTATCTATTTACAGTGGATGGAAACTGGGGAGAATGGTCGGATTATAGCAACTGTTCTACAACATGTGGTGGAGGAACACAAAACAGAACAAGACTATGTGATAATCCAGAACCGAGTAATGGCGGTTCTACCTGTTCTCCTCCCGGTAGCGAAACTAGGTCATGTAATCCGGTTTCATGTATAGGTAGTACTTTATTTTTTATATCAGATATTTTTGCTGCAATTTTGGTTGATGAAGAAAGGACAGGAGTATACCAAAATTTGATCAAAATACAAACCAGGATGTTCCGCTTGCGTTGTTACTATACCTGTTATCAATGGCCAATGTTAACCACAGAAAAATTGGAATAGGAGTCTCTTCAATGACATCCACCTAACCCGATTCGACTACTGTTATCTGATACTATCACAGAATCTACCCATCTGACCAGAAACACTGACATTGAGCTCTTTTACACACTCCCCTCCACCCGATTGCCTATCTGGCTCTGACACAGGGTAAAACTTAGCACCTCGATATTTACCGGTATTGAAACGTCGAGTTCTGGTAAGGCCATCTTCACCATGTCAAGATATTACGAAATGCGTCATATACCTTAACTGCATGGCCTTCTTTATCGTATCGCTAAAGTTTCTAATGCAACAATTTGGTTTGATTTTAGTTCGCGAATACAGCCAGTCAGAGCCCTCGACATAAAGTCTGTTATGTTAACAGTCATTCTAATGATGTCTCTGTTTGGCTGCATCCTCTGGCATACAATCAAATCCCTGCAAATACTGTTTTGATCATATAGTCATAAACTCTATGCAATAAAAGTAAAGTAAACGTTTTTCAGAAGCAGTTTGTGCAGAGAAGAAATATGTTTACAATGCCAGTATCGGTATTTGTATTCAGCTATATACAGAAATGAAAACATTCGACGACGCCAGTGCTGCATGTACTGCAGATGGTGCTTTCCTTTTCAAAATGGATACAACTGATAAATTAGAAGTTGCTAAAGCCATCATTGTAGATAGAAGTAATGTTATATTCTGAATTGATCATTATGTCGATAGCATGCATGTAGGCCTGTACCTAGCCTAAGGTCTCGTGAGAGTTAGAGGAGGTGGTTTCTGTCACATATATTTAACAAATTCAAGAAAAATGTTCAACAGAAGCGTCAAAATTTTACAGTTTTGGTGAAAGAAGCTACCTCGTTCTGGCTTCGTTATGCGAGGTTGTCACTGAAATATTGCTGATGTACAAAATTAAATTACATACTAAAAAATTAAAGATCTGAATCAACCAATGTAATAGGTGCTCTAAAGTCTCACATAATATTGCATTATTTTCAAAATGATATCGGTTTAGCTCGACAAATCTGACCGTACACACTCCTCGGACCTGATATACAATGGAATGTCGGCACCATCAGGGTCAGACATAAAATGTTAACCCGATTGTGGGTCGGAACAACTAAAATGTGACAGTTTATGTCTGACCCTAAACGTGCTGATATCTAATTCGCATATCACGTCCACGATTCGGAATCGGATAGGGCTAGATTTGTCGAGCTTTATCTGAACCTAAATCCGTCTTGAAAACAATGTAAAACTATGTCAAACTATGCAGACGTTAGAACACATTATATATAATAATATTATTTCTTTCAGGATCAAATCAGGACAGTTATTTCCTCGGTGCTAAGGATGTTAATAATGATGACGTATTTAAATGGCTGGATGGTTCTAGAGTAACGTGGATTGGAGACGCTCCTACTGCGAGAAGTCAAAATTGTGTAAGACTCAACAAACAAAATTATCAGATGGACGAAACGTCCTGTACAAGCACAAAATATTTCTTTTGTCAAATAACTGTACCAACCTGGACGGCTCCTTGAACAAGGCGTTAGATGAAAACCGTTTATCTATCATTCAAGAAACACACATAGAACAAGTTGTATTCTTAATGTTTACCTTCCTACTTGGTAGTATGTAATAAACCTAGAAGTAGTATATCTATATATCTTGTATTCTTAATGTTTACCTTCCTGCTTGGTAGTATGTAATAAACCTAGAAGTAGTATATCCATCTATTATGTATTCTTAATGTTTACCTTCCTACTTGGTAGTATGTAATAAACCTAGAAGTAGTATATCTATATATCTTGTATTCTTAATGTTTACCTTCCTGCTTGGTAGTATGTAATAAACCTAGAAGTAGTATATCCATCTATTATGTATTCTTAATGTTTACCTTCCTGTTTGGTAGTTTGTAATAAACCTAGAAGTAGTATATCCATCTATTATGTATTCTTAATGTTTACTTTCCTGCTTGGTAGTATATAATAAACCTAGAAGTAGTATATCCATCTATTATGTATTCTTAATGTTTACCTTCCTACTTGGTAGTATGTAATAAACCTAGAAGTAGTATTTCTATATATCTTGTATTCTTAATGTTTACCTTCCTGCTTGGTAGTATGTAATAAACCTAGAAGTAGTATATCCATCTATTATGTATTCTTAATGTTTACCTTCCTGTTTGGTAGTTTGTAATAAACCTAGAAGTAGTATATCCATCTATTATGTATTCTTAATGTTTACCTTCCTACTTGGTAGTATGTAATAAACATAGAAGTAGTATATCCATACAACTTGTATTCTTAATGTTTACCTTCCTACTTGGTAGTATGTAATAAACCTAGAAGTAGTATATCTATATATCTTGTATTCTTAATGTTTACCTTCCTGCTTGGTAGTATGTAATAAACCTAGAAGTAGTATATCCATCTATTATGTATTCTTAATGTTTACCTTCCTGTTTGGTAGTTTGTAATAAACCTAGAAGTAGTATATCCATCTATTATGTATTCTTAATGTTTACTTTCCTGCTTGGTAGTATGTAATAAACCTAGAAGTAGTATATCCATCTATTATGTATTCTTAATGTTTACCTTCCTGCTTGGTAGTATATAATAAACCTAGAAGTAGTATATCAATATAACTTGTGTTCTTAATGTTTACCTTCCTGTTTGGTAGTATATAATAAACCTAGAAGTAGTATATCAATATAACTTGTGTTCTTAATGTTTACCTTCCTGCTTGGTAGTATGTAATAAACCTAGAAGTAGTATATCTATATAACTTGTGTTCTTAATGTTTACCTTCCTGTTTGGTAGTATGTAATAAACCTAGAAGTAGTATATCTATATAACTTGTATTCTTATTGTTTACCTTCCTACTTCTATATGTCTTACAAAGATTACTTTTTTTTATTGTAAATAAATAAACAAACAATTTAACCAAGAATCGTCCATATCTACCAAGAATTTGTGCCTTCCCAACTGTTTACAAGCGAACAGATGGATCGAACGATGTAGAAAATGCCCAACGGGTCTCAAACTATTTTTGGTAGTCTGACTTACGCTTAGTCTAAGTAGAATGACATACCTTTTTTCCATCTGGACTCGTGGTAAATGTCGCTGGCAACAGTACACTGGTACATTGGAGACGCAGAGTTTCTTACTTTTATAAAGCAAGATAACTTCAGTAGCTGGTGAGAAAAGGGTACGTAACTCTTAAAATAGTCATCTTAATTTAGACTACAAATAAATGTGACAGCCAGAATTAATTTTGTATAGATTTCAATTAATATTTTTATTTTTGCTGTTATCATACTGGTCATATTCATAATTCAATATTTGAAATATTTCATTTCCAAAGTCCATATTCAATCCGGAATAGGAATAATAATTAAATCACATTATTTCGCATGAGATTCTGTGAGAGTTTATTTATAAGAACATGCAGACCACGTGTTCTTCAAAATGAGCACTGCACTACAACTATGAGTTTGGAACTCTTCTCGGTGAGCCCTACCCTGGAAGTCCTCTGTGACTTATGTTACCAATGGTATCTCATCCAATGTTATAATAATTAAAGAAAGATAGTGTGCAGGTTAACGATCTTTCTCAACGAGCTCTACCCTATGTGAATGTGACTAGTGTTATTGACGGTCGCTCATTACCCGTTTTAATTGGAGGGTTCGTCCTGACTAAATTTATCCGATTGATTCTTTCATTTGATATAATCTGGGTGATCTTTTGTGGTTTGTGTTGTTCCAGTATATAAAGTGCTTGTGTGATATTTCCTAGGTTTGTGCGGCCCCAAATATTTTTGGGCTGTAGTGAATTCCTTTATTATGTGAATGTGACATATGAATATCATTGTGTGCTGTTTGTGTATAAG